TCCTTCCTCACTCTGGCTCTCTCTCCAGCGATTGCACATGCCATGTGGCAATCAATAATTTGTTCTCAAAAAGGTAGAAATTAGTAGTGAATTTTTAAAACGGGGCCAGTCCAGTGGCACAAACAGTAAATGCAATGCTCTATGATACTGGATCCATATGACAAGGTCCCAGGTTCATGTCCCATGGCCTCTCTGTTTATGCTAGGCACACACCCATGGTCTGGGCTGGCTGAGGCAGATTGTAGCATGGAAACCCTGCTGGGGGTGCATCCCCACTCCTCGACTTATTTCTCTTTGTCCAGCCTGGAAGAAATAAGTAAAAAAAAAAAAATTTAAGATAGAAGAACTTTAAAAATATGAACCAGGGGACCAGCAGGTAGCATGGTGGTTGAGATGCTAGACAATCCCATGTGGCCAACCATGGTTCAAGTCCTAGACCTGGTGACTTGCTTTCTCACTTTCCCTCTCTCTCTCTCTGGTCAAATTAAAATAAATGAATGAATAAATAAAATTAAATTTAAAAAATTCTTTAAAAAAACAAGAAAAAAACATGAACTAGACCAGCCAGTGGCCTGGTGATTAAGGCAGCTGGATCCTACATAGTTGAGTTTGAGTCCCACACTGGGCAGCTTGTAAAACACTGGGTGCATGTGTATATGTGCCCAAAATCCCAACAGGAGGGAAAAATAGAGAAGGGACTGTGGCATGACCATTTTCCATGGAGGGTGCTTGCTCTCTGTCTTTTTCTCTCTCTCTGGCAAACACATGTGTCCTCTGGCAAATTAAATTAAAAGTGTGTGTGTGTGTGTGTGTGTGTGTGTGTGTGTGTGTGTATACATATATATGACTAGCCAGTGGCATGGCAGTTAAGGTGGCTAGATCCCTCATGGCCTCATTGTTGACTGGGCAGCTTGGAAAACATACTAGGTACATGTGCACACATGCCAAAAATCCCAAGAGGAGAATGGTGGGGGAAAATGTATGCATTAAAAAGGAAGCACCTAGGATTTTATTCTGCTTATCTACCTGTTCAATAAATTATTCAGAGGGACCAGCAGTTAGTGTAATGGCTATGTTGCTGGACTCCCACGTAGTGGACCGTGGTTCGAGTGCTGGACCCGGTGGCTTAAACTCACGCCAGGCGTGTGTGTGTGCATGCCCAAGATCCCGAAAGGAGAAAGGAAAAGGGATTGTGGTGTGGCCATCCCCCCGGGGGGTGATTTCTTGCTTCCTGTCTCTATGTCTCTCTCTTTCTGGCAAGCACACACGCCCTATAGCAAAAACCTCGCCAAAAATAAATAAATAAATAAATAAATAATATTCAGAGAGGATTGTTACTGTCCAACTGTAATTGTGGACTTGGTTATTCTTTCATCAGAATTTGCTTCTTGTATGTAGAATTGTTATGAGCTGGAAAACCATTATGTTGTCTTGATAAATTAGTTTCTTTCTCATTATGTAGTATTTCTCATTATCCCAGACAGTATTCCTTTCTTTGCTTTTTAGTTTGATATTAATATAGTCATTCAAACTTTAGTTTTATTATGTTTGCTAGTAATTTTTTTGTTCTTTTGCTTATACTTATCTTTGTCCTTCTATTTAAAGTAGTCTTTTTTTTGTAGACCTCAAAGAGTTGGTACAATACTATGGTATAAATGTTCTTATCCATCCTAAATTTTTTTTAGAGTTTTTGCTTAGAGCGTGTGCACTCACCAGAGAGAGACCTAGACAGTGAGAGGGAAAGTGAGAAATAACTCCCCAGAGGGATGGCCATTCCACATCGCTTCTCCTACATTCTCTCCCTGGGATCTTAGACACACATGGAGATTTTCAAGCCACTGAATCCAAGACTCAAACCGCAGTCAGCCATGTGGGACTTCAGCAACGTAACCACTATTCCATCTGCTGACCCTACCCTAAAATATTTATGTTGAAATATCAACACCCAAGGGATGGTGTTGGGAGGTGGAGCCCTTGGGATGTGATTAGGTCATGAGGGTAGAGCCCTCATGGATGAGATTAGTGCCCACATACAAGAGGCCTGAGGCTGTTATGGCACAGCTCATGGAGCTCTGTAGTGCTGAAAGCCATATGGAGGATCAGGATCTGGTTCCCCAGTCAGCCTGTATATGCCAGGTGCATGCACTCATGCTGTGATCCCAACTGACTACCAAGACTTGTTGGGGAAGGATCATGACATAAGACCATGTTAAGAGTTCTTTTTCCTCTTTCTCTCTCTCAAAGGGAGGAAGGAGGGAAGAAATGTGACCTTATAGACTGCCTTGGTGGCACAACAGTTACATGCTGCCCAAGTGAAGCTGGAGCCATATGGAAGGTCATAGGTGCAGTTCTCTGGTCAACTTTTTTTTTTTTTTGAGAGGTTTTCACTATAGGGTGTGTGCGCTCGCCAGACAGACAGAGAGAGACATAGAGACAGAAAGTGATAAATCACCCCCCAGGGAGGATGGTCACGCCGCAATCCCTTCTCCTCCATTCGCCTCTCAGGAACTTGGGCACGCACGCACACACGCCCGGCGTGAGTTTTAAGCCACAGGGTCTGGGATGTGAACCGCGGTCGGCTACATGGGAGTCCAGCGACACAGCCATTACGCTAACTGCTGGTTCCCTCTGGTCAACTTTTATATATTAGGCATGCACACGCATGATCCTGACTGACTGAGAAGGTTGCAGGGGGAGGATCACAACGTGAAATCCTGTTGGGGATGTTTGTCTTTCTCTTTCTCCATCTCTTGAAAGAAATAAACTTTAGAAAAGAGAAAAATAAAATAAATAAGGCCTAAGAGAGATCCCTTCCCCTTTTTCCATATGAGGATACAGTAAGAAGTCAGCAATCTGCAGCCCCAAAGAAGGTTCTTCCCAGAACCTAATTATGATTGCACATTGATCATGAACTTTCTTTTTTTTGGAGAGGTTTTGGTATAGGGCTCATGTGCTCGCCAGACAGACAGAGAGAGATAGAGAGATAGAAAGCGAGAAATCACTCCTCAGGGGGGATGGCCACGCTGCAATCCCTTCTCCTCCGTTCTCCTCTCAGGATCTTGGGCATGCACACACACGCGCCCGGCATGAGTTTTAAGCCACCGGGTCTGGGACGCAAACCGCGGTCGACTACGTGGGAGTCCAGAGACATAGCCATTACGCTAACTGCTGGTCCCATTGATCATGAACTTTCAAGCCTCCAGAACTGTAAGAAATTGATTTATGTTGTTTATAAACCACCCAGTTTATATTTGTTTTAACAACCTACATGGATTTAAAAAATGAACTAAGACAAATCTTGTTTTATAGCCAATCTGTCATCTCTGCCTTTTTGTTGCAATGATTAGACCACTTATGTTTATTGTTATAATTGATGTGGTTGGGTTTAGATGTACCAGATGACTATTTGCTAATAACTCTTTTTTTATTTTTTATTTATTTCATTTTTTTAAGAGATTTTTACTGTAGGGCACATGTGCTCACTGGAGAGACAGAGAGAAACAGAGAGACAGAAAGCAAGAAACCTTCCCCCCACCCCCAGGGAAATGGCCACACTGCAATCTCTTCTCCTTCATTCTCCTCCCAGGATCTTGGGCATGTACGCACCATGCCCTGTGGGAGTTTTAAGCTGCCGGGTCCAGAACTCAGACCTCAATCAACTACATGGAAGTCCAGCGATGTAACCATTATGCCATCTTCTGGTCCCACTAATAACTTTTCTTTTGTGGATTTTTTTCCCTTTTTTCCACTTTTGCTGCCCTATTTGGATCGTGGGTTTGTTGTTGTTGTTGTTGTTGTTGCTGTTTTATGGAGGCTTTTGCCTTAGGGCATGTACACTCACTGGAGAGAAAGACAGACAAACACACTGTGAGAGGGAAAGTAAGAAATCACCCCTCAAGGATAATGGCCATGCCACAGTCCCTTCTCCATTCTCCTCCCCAGATCTTGGGTACACATCCAGTGTGAGTTTCAAACCACCAGGTCCAGGATTCAAACCATGATCTGCCATGTGGGAGTCCAGCAGTGTAACAGCTGCACCATGTGCTGGTCCCTGGATCGTGTATTTTTAATAAGTCCATTTTTTCTACCTCATAGTTTATTAGCTGTGCCTGTGCATGCATGTATTAGATCAGGAAAGTCATGACACATTTTTGCATAGGAAAAAAAATATGTCATGATTTTTCCAGTAACCCAGTAGTTACTGTAGCATTTACAATATATAATCACTAGCTTGTCACACTCTACCTTCAAATGATTTATTAGTTCATATATAGTGTAAACACCTTATAATAACATTCTTTTTGTGCTGTGGTGGTCATATGTTTTATTTAGATATATAGTAAGCATCACAATACATGGTAGTTGCTGTTTCAGAAGATAAGTTACCACTTAAAGAAAATATAAAATCGATAAAGATATATTTTCTATTTATCTTGCTTCCAGGTGATGGCGTGCTTTATAAAATATTTGTATAAGTTCAAATTTTTACTAATACCATTTTTCTTCTGTCTGAAAATTTTCTTTTAACTTTTCTTATAATGACATCATTTATTGATAATTTTTTCCCTTTAATTTGCTAGAGATTGTGTGCACTTGCTGGAGAGAGATGGGAGGTCTAGTGAGAAAGCAGCCACTCTAGCAGATGGTCACACCACAGTCCCTTCTTCTCCATTCTCCTCTCAGGAGTTTGAGTACCCGGTGTGTTTTTCAAGCTGCCAGGTCTGGGACTTGAACTGTGTAGTCGGCCATGTAGATCCAGCCACATTCACCACCATGCTACTGGTGACAATTTTAGAATTTAATGTTGAGGCTTGTAATTCAAGGGTTCAATGAGACTGATCATTTATGAGCATAAGAAAATGGTTTTTGTGGGCACTTCTCCAAACGAGATACAGTGAACACCTTCAGTATACCACTTCTAAAGCTGTACCTCTCTTCACATTCAAGAACAGAGAGATCTATTCAGGTAACTCAAGTTCTGAATTATTTCCCCTTTACAGGATACTGCTTTACTAAACCAGAACTGATATTCACATTGGAACAAGGAGAAGATCCATGGTTATCAAGGAAAGAAAACAACTTTCTAAGCAAGAGTCCCCCTGGTGAGTTATTGAGCTCTGGCAGAAGTTTCACTGATTTACTAGGAGGACTCACACACCTCCGCATACAGTTATAATTCATGACTAAAAGTTACCGTGAAAGAATACAAAGAAAAGTTAGCAAGGAGAAGAGATGCATAAGCAAAGTCCAGAGGAAAGCAAACATAAGCTCCCAGGAGTTCATACAGGACATGCTTGGGTCCCCTAGCAGCAAACTGTGACAACATGTTTGAAATGTTGTCTACCCAGAAGTTCACTAGAGCCTAGATTTATGTTGTCGACTGCTCACATGGGCTCCCTCTGTCTAGCATTTACCAGACTTTCAGATGGAAAGCAAGACTCAGCACACACATCATTTCTAGAGTTTCAGCACAGTGATCCACTCTTAGCAGTTCTGGGAATCTAGGGAAGCCTCCTGAAGTCTGAGTTCCCAGATGCCAACCAGGGCTACCGGCAAGTAGGCCTTTGTAAGGGTAACAGCCATGGGCCTACTGTGCCAGCTCTTTTCTTCATGAAAGTTATGCAAACCCATGGCAAAATCTATAGAACATTTTTGCCATATCAACTAATATAAATGTATTAAATTCACATCTTACGAGAAAATGCTGTCAGGCAGGTTTTTTACTGTAGGGCACGTGTACTTGTCAGAAAGACAGAAAGAGACAGAGAGACAGAAAGTGAGAAATCACTCCCCAGGGGGGATGGCCATGCCACAATCCCTTCTCCTCTATTCTTCTCTCAGGATCTTGGTCACGCACACATACACACTCTGTGTGAGTTTAAGCTACCAGCTCCAGGACTCGAACCATGGTCAACTACATAGGAGTCCAGCGACATAGCCATTACACCACCTGCTGGTTTCTCAAAGAGATATACGAGTCCAGAGACCTAGCCATTATGCCACCTACTGGTTTCTCAAAGAGATATACTTATGATTGCTTAAGGTAACAAACATACAACTAATTCAGTATTTACTTATCTGATACTTAGGATTCAATTCAGGATGGAAAGAGATGGAAAAAAAAGGATATTTTGTTAATGCTAAAAACAATTTTAAAGGATATATAAAAGTTCTGAATGTTTATATACCAAATAAATAATGATCAAGTTTTATTTAAAAACTGTTCGAGTTGTAAGGAGAAATAGGAACATCTAGATATAGTACACCTTACTATGCCTCTCTAATTTCATGCCATAGCCAGTGGACAGCAACTGAAACTCCAAAATGGTGCTCAGAAAGCTGCAAGCCTTCGGCGAACTCTCATGTGCTGCCTTTTTTTTTTTTTCTATAGGGTACATGCACTTACCGGAAAGACAGAGAAAAACAGTGAAACAGAAAGTGAGAAATCACTCCTCCAGGGGGGATGGCCACATGGCATTCTCCTCCATTCTCCTCTCGGGATTTTGGGCACATCCCCACATGCGCCCAGCATGAGTTTTAAGCCTCTAAATCCAAAACTTGAACTGTGGTCAACTACGTGGGTGTTCAGTGACATAGCCATTATGCCGACAGCTGGTCTCAACCTGCTGCCTATTTTAGTAAAGAAATATTGATTAGACCACAATTCATCCATTTGTCTATTTGTTTATGCTAGGAGGCAAAGTTGAGTAGTTGCAACAGAAACCTTGTGACCAATACAGCATAAAACATTTAGTCTCTGGTCCTTTACTGAAAAAGTTTACTGACCCCTGCTCCAGAAGTTATAAACAACGTACTTTATAAAGTGAATCTAATGTGTCCTTCAAAACTCTACTTAAAAAAAAAATAACTTTTTAAATAACCTTGGATCCCTGACAAAATGTAAAAGTATTTTAGGCAAGCATCAGTAAACTCCATAACGTAGTGATATTATTGTTTGACAAAACTTTAAATTCCAAACAATATGAGAAATGTTAAAATGTCTTTGTCTTGAATTCAAAACTGAATATACAGGCATGCTTCTGATAACGACAGGGCTAGTTCTGAGCTGTGTGTGGCTAGGTGATAGGATATGCTTCCACAACCTCGCTGGAATAGCCTATTTTACACCCAGGCTATATGCTGTAGCCTGTTGACACACCTTCATATATGTGGCCCATCCATGACCAAAATGACATTTTGTAGCACATAACTGTATAGCTTTAAAACATACTAGATCAAAGAGTCTATCAAAGTTGTCCATTATCTAGAAAAATTTTTAAATGATAAATGAGTATTAGAACCTTTGGATTATATACAAAGCAGCACTTAGTGAAAAGCCTTTAGTCTCATATACTTATTTTTAAAAACGATAAAAATTTCAGGCCAGCTGTGTAGCACAGGGTCAACTGAGCTGGATCCCATATGGCCTACCACAGTTCAAGGTCTGTTGCTAAATGCCATGAAAAACAAACTTGGCCTATGTGCATTCATGACCAAAATCCCGACAGAGTGGAGACATGGAGGCAAAAGGATTGTAGTGTGACCACATTCCATGGAGGGATGTTTTCTCTGTTTCTTTCTTGTTCTCTGGCAAGCACACACACCTTCTGGCATTTGGGGATAAAAGAAAATTTTCAAAGAAAACTAATCATAGCAAAAGATATAATAAAACTAATAAAAATACAAACTCGGCAGGTGACATACAAATTCAGGTATTGGATTGGATCCCACACAGCCAACTCCGCATTTTGAGTCCCGGATCCAGCGGCTTGAAAACCACCCTAGGATGGGACCAACAGTTGGTATAGTGGCTATGTCGTTGGACTCCCATGTAATCAACTGCAGTTCGAGTCCTGGACCCAGTGGCTTAAACTCACGCTGGGTGCATGTGCATGTGTGCCCAAGATCCCAAGAAGAGAATGGAAGAGAATGGATTGCAGAGTGGCCATCCCCCTGGGGGGTAATTTCTTGCTTTCTGTCTCTCTGTCTCTCTCTGTCTTTCTGGTGAGCGCACGCGCCCTATAGCAAAAACCTCTCCAAAAAAAAAAGGAAAAGAAAAGAAAACCACCCTGGGTTTGTGTGCATGTGCACCCAAAATTCCTAGAGAAGACTGGAAGAAAAGAGATTGCCATGTGGCCATTCCCACTGAGAGGTGATTTCTCACTTTCTCCCTCTCTCTCCCCCTCTGGCGAGTGCATGAATCATCTAGCAAAACTAAAACAAATTTTAATTAAAAAAAAAAAATACATATCTATCTAAACATATATATATATACACACACACATATATATACATATATGTATATATATATATATATATATATACCTGCAAAAAGGAGTTCTTGAAATTAAAATAAAGAAAATAGCCAACCTCAGGTTAAAAAATGAAATAAAAGCTCTATTTTTTTTTTTTAGTTTTAGAGGGCATGTGCATATACCAGAGAGAGAAAAAACACCCCCAATGAAGCCTGGTCTTGCTGCAATGCTTTTTTTTTTAATTATTTTATTTTAACTTTATTTATTCATTTATTTATTTTAAGTTGACCAGAGAGGGACAGAGCCAGAGAGAGAGAAAGTGAGAAGGCAAGCCGCCAGGTCTGGGGCTCAAACCGTGATTGTACATGTGGGTGTCCAGTGACCTTAACCACCAGGCCACTTGCCGGCCCCCCACCCCTTTTTTTAAATTATTTTATTTAACTTTATTTATTCGCAATGTTTCTTCCTTCATTTCTCCATACCATCGGGATCCTGGGTATGACTGCACATATACCCCGTGTGTCCCCACCAGGACTAGGATTCAAGCCACAGTCGGCCATGTGGGATCCAGCTCCCTCTGCACAGTGCTTAACCACTGCACCTTGGTGGGCCCTATTACTCATTTTAAATTATTGCTCTAATTTCTACTCCATAATCTTGGAATACTTTCTCCCATACCTTATCTTTTCCTTTTGTAAACGGTCATCTACTTGATGGATGTATCAATAGAAAATGAGACTGTCAGAAGCCTTACGGTTAGTGAATGAGCTCTTTTCTCACCCGGACTGTAATCTACAGAAAAAAAAAAAAAAAAGAATCTCAGGCCATCTCATGGCAAGGCAGCTGGAACCCACCTGGCCAGCTCTGCAGTTTGAGTCCTGGACCTGGCAACCTGAGAAACATTCTGGGTACATGAATGTGCACACCCAGAATCCCGAAAGGAGAATGGAAGAGAAGGCCATCTCTCCTGGGAGGTGCTTTCTCTCTCTTTTACTCTCTTTCTTTTCTGCAGCAAGTGCATGTCCCTATAGCAAATTAAAAAAAAAAAATCTCTATTTTATTTTCACATACTTTGGTGTGTAAGATATAATAAGTACTTTTTAACAGCATTATAAGTTAACTTGGGAGACAGCTTTCATAATGATTGACTCAGAATACATCATCCATAAATGCAAATACTCAAGTCAAACTTTTGGAACTTTTGAATCATCAGGTATAAACCAGTACTAATTCTGAACCCTGTGTACAAGAGCGCTGTAGTAATTCCAAAGCACAGTGCTTTTTAGGAGCCGCTGACAGTTTATTTCACAGAGATGTGCAAAGTACATCAGGAGAGTAAAGCCGCGGAAGGTATGTCTGACCCAGCCTCCGCAGCACACAGCATACAGTGTACTGTACTGACCTGCAATGCTGGCAGCCACAGAGTCAGCTGTAGGTTCAGATCCCAGACTGACCTGCCGTCACGGGCGTGTGCTTGCACACGATTCTGAGCGCTCAAGGGCTGGCAGAAGGGGACTGGAGCATGTCAAGATGATGCCAAGGAGACATGTCTGTCTCTCTGTCATTCTCTCTCACACACACATGAGCACATGTATTCCTTAACATGAATAAAATAAACCCTAAAAACTTTCCAAATATTTTTTAATGTCATATAAAGTGCTATCAATTAAAAGGTTATTTTAGGCACAACAAAGGAAAAGAAAATGCCCATTTAACAATGCCTTTGCTGGGACCAGCAGATGGCATAGTGGTAACATTGCTGGACTCCCACGTAGTTGACTATGGTTTGAGTCCCAGACCTGGCAGCTTAAAATTCACACCGGGCATGTATGTGTGCCTACCCAAAATCCTGAGAGGAGACTGTAGGAGAAGGGATTGTGGCGTGGCCATCTCCCCTTGGGCGAGATTTCTCACTTTTTCTCTCTCTCTATCTCTGTCTCTCTGGCAAGCACATACACCCTATAGCAAAAATCTCTCTCAAAAAAAATATTAATAGATAAAAATAAATAGATAAAACAATGCCTTTGCCATCAATTTTAATGTTTCTTGATTTTGGTGATAGTAATTTACTTAAAAAAATTATGAGTCTCCTCTATGTATCCCTTGTTAAAATGAAAAATAAATACAGGCAATAACTACTTGCACATTTTAAATGTTGCTTAAATTTGTAGGAAGATAGAAGAAATCTTTCTTTTTTCTTTTTCTTTTTGTTTTTTTCTTAACTATTTGGGAAATAGCTTCCAGAGTTCACATAGTTCTAATGCCAGAATACAGGATGATTTAGAGAAACAATGTGAGAATAAGGTTATTGCTGCAAATGAGCTATTTAATTTATTTAGGGACCAATAGCTTGTCAAGAGTAGAGCAGAAAAATACTATGCATGAGCGGAAGGGTAGCTAATACACATAGTGAGTATGCTGTTAGTATAAAACTTTCTTTTCCTGAATCACAACTCTTAAATCTTCTGTTGGAACCCTAGGATAGTCTATTCATGGGCTTTGGATACTTTTAGCATTGGCTTGACATTTTTTACATAGAACTTGGGTGGCAGTAGGGAAATAGCAGTCAAACAGAAACAAGAATATTATGACAAGTGAAGATGAAGTACTCATATAAAATTTCTAGGCCCAGATTGAAATAAATGTTCCTTAAGTTTCTTCAGAAGCATTCATAACTACATACATTAAGAAGTGGATTGAAAGAAGACTTAACCATTGAACTAGGGCCAGACTCATTTTGGGAAAATGAAGGAACTATTTGAAAGGAGGGAAGTTAAAATTTGATGGCCTGAAGAGATTTACTGTTGAATGACCCTTATAAGATTAGGTGCCAGGATCAGAGTAGAGCAGGCATTCAGTCTAGGTGGGAGAATAACATTAATTCCCATTAGTTGTACTCTTCCCCTTAAACATTTGTGTTTCTTGATGATACTACAAAGAGAATTAATACATGGCCTATAGGACTGTTCTTTTCAACATGAAGAAACTGTTGCCATCATAAATTCATTTTGATATAGATGTATAAAGTAGGAAAAAAAGGAGCACGACCTGGAATCATGTAGGCTAATAATTATTCTACCTTTGTACTATATTTGTATTTGGACTGAATAAGAATATAGACTGTAGTGATTTTTTTTTTTTTAGAGAGAGATTTTTGCAATAGGGCATGTGCACTCACCAAAGAGACAGAAAGTGAGAAATCACCCCTCTAGGAGGGATGGCCACACCACAATCCCTTCTTCTCCATTCTCTTCTCAGGATCTTGGGCATGCACACACACATACCTGGCGTGAGTTTTAAACCACTGGGTCCAGGACTTGAACCATGGTCGACTACATGGGAGTTCAGTGACTTAACCATTATGCCACCTACTGGTCCCTGTAGTGATACTTTTTTAATGCAAACCACATCCCAGATAAATCTACTAATTTCCACTGATTTTTTTTTTTGGTTGTTGTTGATCTATTAAACTTAGTGCTGATCTTCTTTGTTGAATGAATCTCATTTTCTTATTTTCCTCTTCCCAGAGTCCAACTCTCTTAAATATATTTCTTTTGTTGTTGTTGTTAAGAGTATTTTTTAATATTATTTTTAAATTTTTGCTATAGGGCACATGTACTCACCAGAGAGAGACAGAGAAAGAGAGTTGAGAAAGCAAGCCACCAGGTCCAGGACTCAAACCACAGCTGGCCACGTAGGAGTAGAGTGCCTTAACCACCAGGCCACCTGCTAGCCCAATATACTTCATTCTTAATTGTTCTTGCCTTTATATACTCTTCTTCACTCAATTTTGAAAATTATATTTTAGGTTGCTTAATACATGTGTATGTTCATCTTTAGTTTTCTCTCTTTCTATTGAAAAGGAAGCTTTTAAAAAGGGAATACAGACTTGGTAGTACCTTACTATTGTGAAAATTAGCCAGAATCTAAGGAATCAAATATATAATATGATATAGATAGATAGATAGATAGATGATAGAGAGAGAGAGATCACCATCCCACACCATAAGAAGTGTTAAGTTTTATAAATAATTTTTAATTTTCTCATTTTTAGGAGACTCCTCACTTGATAAACTCTCAGAGAAGAGTCCAGAATATCAAAACAAACATTTATGGCATTTTTTATTCACCAAAAAATCATTGACTACTGACCAAGAAATTTCAGAGAAAACAAGCAGACTGGACATTTTTCCTTCAAGAAGGATGCCCTGTAAATGTGACACTGCAGGGACATCCTCTCTGGGTCTCAGCCCATTTGCCCCACATTGTCAGTGTTCGAGAGAAAAGACTCCTGAGCTTAACTTACGTGAGGAATGGCTCCTCAGTATCAAGGATGGCAGCACCAATATTGAAGAGAAATCTTATGGTTATGGTAAACATATGAAAACCCTCAGTCATAAGGAAGAACTTATTCAGCATCAGATGGCTCAGATGGGGCGTCCTTGTGAATGTAATGAAAGTGGAAAAGCTCTCCTTGAAAAGGCTACCCTCATTACATCTAAGAGTGCCCACCAAAAACTGAAATTGTATAAACTGAATAAATTTGGGGATAATCAATATGATAAATCAAACTTCATTGTCTCAAAGAATATTCATCCAGAAAAGAAGAGTCACTGTGTGACTCTTAATGAAAATGAAAATAGTTTCAGTAGGACTAATCAAAAACTTGACACAGGAGGAATATCTATCAGTCAAAAATTACTCATCAGAGAACATCAGAGAATTCACATAGGGTCAAAACACTTTGAATATGGAAAAAATTTGAACCGTAATTCAACCATCCCAGTGTATCAGAAAACTCATGCAGCAGATAAATCTTCTGAGTATAGTGCATATGCAGAGACATTCAACTACCAGCCAGTGTTTAACGTACATCATAGGCCTCCCATAAGGGTACAACTCTGTGAGTGTAACGAATGCAGAAAATCCTGCTGTATCAATTCACGCCTGATTCGGCCTCAGAAGAGTCACACGGGAGAGAAACCATATGTATGTCATGAATGTGGGAAAGCATTCAGTGAGAAGTCACGCCTACGAAAACATCAAAGAACTCACACAGGAGAGAAACCATATAAATGTGATGAATGTGAGAAAGCTTTCAGTGCAAAGTCAGGCCTACGAATCCATCAGAGAACTCACACCGGGGAGAAACCCTTTGAATGTAGTGAATGTGGGAAATCCTTCAACTACAAGTCAATCCTCATAGTACATCAAAGAACTCACACGGGGGAGAAGCCCTTTGAATGTAGTGAATGTGGGAAATCTTTCAGCCATATGTCAGGCCTAAGGAATCATCGGAGAACTCACACAGGGGAAAGACCGTATAAATGTGATGAGTGTGGGAAAGCTTTCAAACTGAAGTCAGGCCTAAGAAAACATCACAGAACACATACCGGAGAGAAGCCCTACAAGTGTAATCAGTGCGGTAAAGCTTTTGGTCAGAAATCACAGCTCAGAGGACATCATAGAATTCACACAGGTGAGAAACCCTATACATGTAATCATTGTGGGGAAGCTTTCAGCCAGAAGTCTAATCTCAGAGTACATCACAGAACTCACACTGGGGAGAAACCCTATAAATGTGATGAGTGTGGAAAAACTTTCAGGCAGAAATCAAATCTCAGAGGACATCAGAGAACTCACACAGGGGAGAAACCCTATGAATGTAATGAATGCGGAAAAGCTTTCAGTGAGAAGTCGGTCCTAAGGAAACATCAGCGAACTCACACTGGGGAGAAGCCCTATCATTGTAATCAGTGTGGGGAGTCCTTCAGTCAGAAATCAAACCTCAGAGTGCATCAGAGAACTCACACAGGGGAGAAACCTTATAACTGTGATAAATGTGGGAAAACTTTTAGCCAGAAATCAAGTCTTAGAGAACATCAAAAAGCCCACACAGGGGATTAAGTATATAAATGTAAAGGACATGGGAAAACTCTGAGCTGGGAATCAAACCACATAATACCTAAAACATACAAGGATATAGCAGACATTGAAATTTCTTCTGCACAATGTCAGTCTTCACCAAATATCACAGAATTTATAGGACAGATATTTTTGAAATATATTGCACAGCCACAGTGCAGATCTTACTGGATATTAGAGAATTAACCCAGAAAAAAAACAAACTATAAAGATAGTGAATATGGGAAATACTCTGTCAAACTCAATCCTCAGAAAATTTATGCTGTGGAAGGCTCTGAAAAAAAAATGAATTTGAAAAGTGTGTATAAGCAGTCAAAATGTATTTGTTATCAGATAAATTACACAGTGAGAAAACCTAGAATGTAGTATGTCATAACCTGTAGTCAAAAGCCAGCTTCCTCAGTACAGCAGAAAATACATTGAAGATGGAGACCAGTGTATCACTGTATTAAAACACGATAGAAAAGGTAGGTAAGATATAGGAATTCCTTCTACCGTAAGTCAGCCCTCCGTCTGATTCACACAGTGGTAATGCTCGTATGTCATATAATGACTGTTAAAATGTTCTCCAATAACCATTTCCTTTTCTCCCTCATGCCACACCTAGTCTAAATTTCTCAGTCACTCTGTCATCCAAATGGGATTATATTGTTAACCTCTGGGTAGTGAAATGGGAGGGTCAATGATAAATAAGTATCATTAAATACATCCCTAAGATTCTCCATATTTTCTCCTGTCCCTCATCAAAATGGAATAGAGATTACCTACAGGGAGACCTTGGTGCTCATACACTGAAGATGGAAAAGTACAAGATGGTAGGTACCAGGGTCAAAGAATGACTGTGGAATGGAGTTTTCTCTCCCATGTACGTAGGCAGACTTTTTACAGTAAGGAGATGCACTTGTTCTCTGCTGAGGCGATGCAGGTTTTAGTGTACTTGATATTGCTGTATATGCACCAACTCTCAGTTGATAAAACCTATGAATATGACTTCTCTGGAAACAGGACTCAGTGCATATCAGAGGTCACATAGGAGAAACCTGTGACACCATGCTGAATGATCTACTTATCCACAATGACCAGTTTATCCACAACTCTTACTTATCAGTCAGCTAAGTATCAGGAGAAGAACTCCAACATTGCAACACATATAGAAAAATCTCTCACACACACAAAAAAAAGATTATTTTCAATGTGTGAAAGTTTCAGAAATCATCAAATTTTATTGTCTTTCAAAGTCACTTCAAGGGGGGAAAACTTATCAATTTGAGAAAGGTAAGTTATAGTCTTTATCAAAAGATTTTATCAAGGGGCTGGCGGATGGTGTGGTGGTTAAGGGTGCTGGACGCCACATGGCCGACAATGGTTTGAATCCCGTACCTGGTGGCTTGCTTTTTCACTCTCTTTCTCTCCCTCTCTCTCCACCTCTCACTCTGTCCTTCTCTGGTCAATTTAAAATAAATGAAGTAAATAATCTTTTTTTTAAAAGAACTTTTTAAAATCAAAACTATTGTTCACATGTAATATCAAAACATTTAACATAACATTTATCAAATACAGTGCTAGAATAAAAAAGCTTTAAAAATAGATTTCATAAACTCAACAATGGCATTAAGTATACGTATGTGGATATTTTCTGAGTTGTCTTTTGTTTATGTGAGTATGTTTATGTGCATGCCACTTACCAGGTATTCGTTTTATACATGTATGGAAACTCAGTGTCTTAATAGAATTATGTACCTCTTGCTTAATAATTGCTCTGACATGAGCTATGATCTGCCACATGTATATTAATAGCAAATAAACCTTTTGCAGGAAATATGTGGAAGTTCAGAGTTCTATACCACATTCCCTTCCTCTGCTGCCTTCTGACATCTGCGCGTAGGAAAGGCCACTGTTACCAAACTGTCCTTTCTCCAAAAAAAGCAAACAATTGCTTTCTATATACTCGCACATTATCTCGGGGTCTTCAGTACACATAAAGCACACACGCATATGGGGCCAGCAGGTAGCATGGTGGTTGGGTCTCTAGACTCCCACAATGGCCAATCGCAGTTCAGGTCCCAGACCCAGCAGCTTGAAATTCATGCCAGGCGCACGTGCATGCATGCCCACAATCCCAATAGGAGAAGAAGAAAAGAGATTGCAGGGAATGATCTCTCACCTCCTCTCTCTATGTCTCTCTCTCTGTCTCTCCGGTGAGTGCATGTTCCCTATTGCAAACCCCCCCCCATACACACACACACAAATACATGTAACTTCAGTGTCACTTATCCTTTCCTCAACAGTGTTGAGCATACTAATTAGCCCTTGGAAGACCTCTTTTATTTACGTCTTCCCCCTAACACTTTAATTTCATTATATTGCATAGCTTCCGTCTCTCTGTAGAAATCACCTGTCTGATCTTGCATGTTGTAACATCTCCATATGAACTGTTACATATGTCATTTGGTATTCTCCGTCTCAGTTACACAACTTTTTGGGTCATTGTTTGCAGCCTCCTAACTCTCCAGATTTGAGTTAGTTTTTTAACCTGTGATTTCACATATCTAATACATTGAAGAAAAGTTATTTTTTTAGAGATTTTTGCTATAGAGCATGTGTACTCACCAGAGATACAGAGAGAAAGACAGCAAAAATTCACCCCCTAGGGGGATGGCCATGCCACAATCCCTTCTCCATTCTTCTCTGGGGATTTTTGGGCATGTGCACACACACGCCTGGCATGAGTTTAAGCCGCCAGGTCTGGGACTCAGACCACAGTTAACTACATGGGAGTCCAGTGATGCAACCATTATGCCATCTGCTGGTCCTGCAACAGAAGTTATTAAAGTCTGTCCATCTGTTTTATGATTTTGCTTGTGTTTTTGTTGTTGTTGGTATGGATTTTTTGTTTGGTTTGGTTTTTTGAGTCTTTTGTTTGTTTGGCTTTCTTGGTCTGAGGAAAAAGAAGCTATGCTCTTTCCTGCCCTTTATTTCTCCGAGCTGTAACTGAAAGTTGCCTGTTGATTTTTTAACAAATGTTCCATGGTCATTTGATGGGAAAAGGATACTTATTTTCAAAAATGGTGCTAAAATAATTTGATTTTTTGAGATATTTTTGCTATAGGGCACATGCACTCACCAGAGAGACAGAGAGAAAGGAGAGAGAACAAGAAATCATCCCCCGGGTGGTGGTCACACCACAACCCCTTTTCTTCCATTATCCTTTTGGGATTTTTAGGTTACATGCCCAGCATGAGTTTGAAATCACCGGGTCCAGGACGCAAACCATGGTTGACTACATGAGAGTCCAGCAGTATAACCATTATGCCACTTGCTGGTCCCGATAACTCCATTTTTAAATTTTATTTTTGTAAGGAATTATTTATTGGGGCTGGCAGGTGGTGTGGAGGTTGGGGTGCTGGACTCTCACATGGCCAACCACAGTTTGAATCCCAGATGTGGTGGCTTGCTTTCTCACTTTCCCTCTCGCTCTGGTCAAATTAAAATAATAATAAATAAAATTAAATAATATTTCATTAAATAATATGTTATTTTAGTTATTTTAATTTGCTATAGAGCATATGTGCTCACTGGAGAGAGAGAGAGAAAGTGAGAAAGCAAGCCTCCAGGCCCAGCATTGAACAACGGTTAGCCATGTGGGAATTTGGCACCTTCACCACCACACCACCTGCTGGCCTCTATTTCTAAATTTTAAATGTACCTTAATCTTTTATTTTTTTTTTTTTGAGAGATTTTCACTGTAGGGCGCGTGCGCTCGCTAGACAGACAGAGAGAGACATAGAGACAGAAAGCGAGAAATCACCCCCCAGGGAGGATGGTCACGCCGCAATCCCTTCTCCTCCATTCTCCTCTCGGGATCTTGGGCACGCACGCACATGCACCCAGCGTGAGTTTCAAGCCACCGGGTCCGGGACACGAACCGCGGTTGACTACGTGGGAGCCCAGCGACATAGCCATTACGCTAACTGCTGGTTCCCAATGTACCTTAATCTTCACACCAGATTTTAAAATTCATTCAAATGAGTCATAAATGTAAACAAAATGGCTAAAATACAAAATTTTCATTAGAAAAAAGAAACTATACTTTGCAGAATGTGTTTTTTAGAACACAAAACATGAGATAAAAGGAAAAAAGTTGGAAATTATTAAAATGTAAAGCTTCTGCTTTTCAATATTTTATTTTATTTTATTTTATTTTATTTTATTTTATTTTTTTTTATTTTTTTTTGCACCCGGCACGAGTTTTAAGCCACAGGGTCCGGGACGCAAACCATGGTCGACTATGTGGGAGTCCAGCGACATAGCCTTTAGGCTAACTGCTCGTTCCCCTTCAATATTTTATTATAAAAATGAAAAAGGTAACCACAGATGGGGGAAATTATCTCTAAAAAACCATCTCCCCCTGCCCACCCCTAGGAAAAATTGCCATGCTGCAAACCTTTCTCCTCCATTCTCCTCTTGGGATTTGGGGCAAGTGTAACAGATTTTTTTTGTGTGTTGACACATATCTAAGCATAAAAAAGATATAGTAAAAATATACCCTAAAAAATAAAGGATGAAGCCAGCCCTGTAGGACTGTGTTTAAGTTCTGTGCATTGGGAACCAGATCCCATGTGGCTGACTGTGATTCAACTCCCAGCTCTAGAGGCTTGAAAGACACGCAATGAATGTGTGCATGCCCCCCACCCCCAAATCCTGACAGGATGGAGAAATGGAGGAAAAGGAATTACAACATTACACCCCATTGGGGGATTCTCAAAAATGGGGGTGCCAGGAGGTGGCGTGGTGGTTAAGGGTGCTGGACTACCACATGGCCGACCATGGTTCAAGTCCTGGACCTGGCGACTTGCTTTCTCACTTTCCCTCTCCCCCTGTTTTTTTCACTCTGTCTCTCTCTGTCAAATTTAAATAAATAAAGTTTTTTTTAAAAAAATGAAAAATGGTACACCAAATGTATCAAATGCTCTTTTAAAAATTATTTATTTGTTTATTTATATTATCATCATAAACTTTATATTATATTGGATTACATAAAACTTTACAATATATTACATTGCTTTTTCAAAAGGGAATGCCATGTATGTCAGTCAATACAGAGACATTAATTTCCCCACTTCATCATTCAATATCTTTTCAATGTTTTTCCCAATAATAATTATTATTCTAATTATTATTTTTTTAAAGAATCACTGTTTCTTATTTTGCTTGTAAAAAGACTGTACCTATCATGAAATACTTCTCAGACCAATCCAGTTGAGAATACTATACATGTCATCATCAACAGGTAATAAGCCATATCTGTTTCCCACTGACGTCCTGCCTCTCTATTTGTTCTCTTGCTATCTTTCTCTATCCTCTTCTCTTCACCCCCCAATTCCCCATTAAATGCTCTTGAATAACAAATTAGTCTTAATAATAGCTTACTGTAAGTTTTTTTATTTTTAAACTTTTGAGAATTTCTTGTTAGCTTTTTTGAGTCTTTTCTAATAACACTTAGCTTAAATACAAATATTTCTTCTTTATATTCTTATTCTATGATCTTTTTTATTTTTAACTTTTTTTTTTTTTGAGAAGTTTTTGCTGTAGGGTGTGTGTGCTCACCAGAAAAATAGAGACAGACAGAAAGCAAGAAATCACCCCCTGGGGGGATGGCCACACCATAGTCCTTTCTCTTCCATTCTCCTCTTGGGATCTTGGGCACGCACACACACATGCCCAGCGTGAGTTTAAGCTACCTGGTCTGGGACTCGAACCATGGTCAACATATGGGAGTCCAGCAACATAGCCATTACGCCAACTGCTGGTCCCTATTTTTAACATTTCTTTCTTTTAGAATTTGTTAAAAACTGGGTCCAGCAAGTGGCGCAGTGGTTAAGGTGCTACAGTTCCACATAACCAACTATGGTTCAAGTCCCAGACCTGGAGGCTTGCTTTTGCACTTTTCCTTTCTCTTTCTCTCTGTCTCTCTGGTCAAATTAAAAATAATAATAACATATAAATAATTTTTTAAAATAAATTGTTAAAAACTAAAACACAAACTCATTAGCTTAGGCCTACCCAGGGTCAAAATCAGTATCACTGTCTCTCACCACATCTTGCACCACTGGGAGGGCCGTGATGAACAGGATAAGAGGTTGAATCAAGCACAAAAGACAATCGTATAATCAGGAGCTATAGTAAACAAGACATGTATGAGGCCAGTGCCAGCATAACATGGCACACTGCTTTAATTTTAATGAGTGGAATGAGTACACTCTAAAATAACGACAAAATATATGGTATGGTATGGCCCAGCTCTGGTGGTACAAGTGGAAGGGCACCAAGGCATGGT